AATTTAGCTCTTTTTAACAAGCACTTTTCATGCAGCCTTCATGGCTTGATCCGTGGTGAAAACATGGAACTTGGACGTGATTCTGATACTGGTGGCCAGGTAATTTTGTTTCATTGTATTGTACAAACGATTTTCCATGTACTCCTTTTTGCCATCGTATGCAGAAAATTGTCATTTAGAATTATAAAACGAACTGGATATAAGGATAACACTCCTTGTTAGTGATGTATGTTCTCATGAACCCTGCTGTCAAGATTCATGTGTTGTAATCATTTTTCTGCGACAATCATTTTTGTTCTTCTATAATCAGGTGAAATACGTTGTAGAACTTGCTAGAGCCTTGGGGACAATGCCAGGAGTATATAGGGTTGATTTGCTGACTAGACAAGTTTCAGCTCCTGATGTGGATTGGAGTTATGGTGAGCCAACAGAGATGCTTAATTCAAGGAAATATGATAGTTCCGAAGATGAGCGTGGGGAGAGTAGTGGGGCTTATATTATCCGTGTCCCATTTGGGCCAAGGGACAAGTATATTCCAAAAGAACTTCTTTGGCCTCATATTCCAGAATTTGTTGATGGTGCTCTTAGCCATATTATCCAGATGTCCAAAGTTCTTGGTGAGCAAATTGGAGGTGGGCAATTAGTTTGGCCTGTGGCTATACATGGACATTATGCAGATGCAGGTGACTCCGCAGCTCTTATATCTGGGGCTTTAAACGTTCCATTGCTATTTACTGGTCACTCACTTGGGCGGGATAAGCTAGAACAACTTCTAAAACAAGGGCGTCAAACGAGGGAAGAAATAAATGAAACTTACAACATAATGCGGAGGATAGAGGCAGAGGAGCTGTGTCTTGATGCTTCCGAAATCATTATAACTAGCACCAGGCAGGAGATTGAAGAGCAATGGCGTCTGTATGATGGTTTTGATCCAGTAATAGAGCGGAAGCTGCGAGCAAGAATAAAAAGAGGAGTCAGCTGTTATGGCAGGTTTATGCCTCGTATGGTTGTGAGTAATAAAATGTTTATCTTGAGATTCTTAATCAACATCTGAATCTTTCTGCTTCTGAAGGAATGATTTTCATAGTTCCCTTGTCTTATTGTATCTTAATACTAATGTGCAATTCTTATGTACTAATTGCCGCCATAATGATCAGGTAATTCCTCCTGGAATGGAGTTTCATCATGTTATTCTACCAGATGCTGATATGGATGGAGAAGTTGAGAAGAATGGTGATGGTCGTGCTTCTTCAGACCCACCAATTTTGGCTGAGGTTTTACTTCGTCTCTCATCAATTCTTCTTTATGTCATACTTTGCTAGTGAATGAACTGTGTAGAATTGTTAACAATGGTAATCTTGGGGACTTGAATGCAAGATTATGCGATTCTTTTCTAATCCACGGAAGCCAATGATACTTGCACTTGCAAGGCCAGACCCAAAGAAGAATATCACTACTCTAGTCAAAGCATTTGGAGAATGCCGTCCACTGAGGGAGTTTGCAAACCTGGTATTCTCACACCTTTGAGTCTGATAATTGCATACATTTTAATCAATTTCCGTATGCTTTTGAAGTCTTGTATGTGTTTGGCTTGATTAGATTAAGTCCTAAGATTGTAGTTTAATTTTCTTTTCCTGTTACAGACAGTAATAATGGGAAACCGTGACAATATTGACGAAATGTCTGCCACAAATGCATCAGTTCTTCTATCAATTATTAAACTAATTGACAAATATGACTTGTACGGTCAAGTGGCGTACCCTAAACATCACAAGCAGCATGACGTTCCCAACATTTATCGACTAGCAGCAAAAACCAAGGTATACTTTTAGTAATCATCTTTATTTGGAAGGTTAACTTTTAACCTTTTATTTCAAGAATATGATATGAAAAAAATCACATAAATACAATTAATGTTAGCATCATTTCCTTTGTGCCTTCTTTTAACCACACATCACATTTTAGATGAAGTTGAATGAAGAAATCTCTCTCTCTCGCTCACTCATACGCACACTCACAACCAAGAAGAGACCACGAATGAGGACTTCAATGCATTAAGCTTTTTTTATTTTTATTAAGATATCTCGATCAACATATTTCCTCTCTTTTTACAGGGTGTTTTTATCAATCCCGCATTCATTGAGCCATTTGGACTTACTTTGATTGAGGTGGTTGCCTTCACTTGCCTTGTTCTTTCAAATGTGTGATTATTGGGGAAAAAAAGTCAAAACATTATTTTCTTGTCTCTCTTTTTTCCCTCCCAAATAGGCAGCAGCTCATGGCTTGCCGACTGTTGCTACGAAAAATGGCGGTCCTGTTGATATTCTTCGGGTGTGTTAATTTTGCTGGTGACTTTGTAATGGTTAAAAGTTCCTGATCTGGTCAGAATTTGCTGCAAGTTGAGCTTCCATACTCGCTATTTAATATTGTACATAAACTTCCAACAGGTTCTTGATAATGGTCTGCTGGTTGACCCTCATGATCAGAAGTCCATTTCGGACGCTCTTTTAAAGCTTGTTTCAGATAAGCAACTCTGGGCAAGGTGCAAGCAGAATGGTCTAAAGAATATTCACCTTTTCTCCTGGCCAGAGCATTGCAAAACATATCTATCTCGAATAGTCAGCTGCAAACCAAGGCAGCCACAATGGCAAGGACATGCTGACAGATTTGAAAACTTGAGGTCAGATTCACCTGGGGATTCTTTGCGAGATATACAGGATATATCTCTCACCTTGAAGTTTTCGTTTGATTGCGAGAAGAATGAAGGGAGTACGACATTGGAAAATGTTCTAGATCTCGAGGAGAATGCTGTTGATGCAAAAACAAAGTCAGAAAATGCTATTCTTGCGTTGTCAAAGGCTCTTCTAGGTAGCATTCAAAAGGTTGGCTCAACTGATAAAGTGGACCAGAATCTTGTAACTAGTAAATTTCCTGCAGTAAGAAAAAAAGGCATCTTTGTGGTTGCTGTGGATTCCGATTCTTTCTCTGATTCACTTGAAATCATGTTGTCAGTTTTAGAAGCAGTAGGGAAGGACAAGAATGCAGGGTATATTGGTTTCATATTATCGACATCGTTGAGCATACATGAGGTATACTCTCAAATGACTTTGGGAGGTTTCAGCCCTTCAAACTTCGATGCTTTCATATGTAACAGCGGAAGTGAGCTCTATTATCCATCTTCGAACTCCAATGACGATCCTTCTGGGCTTCCCTTTGTGACTGATGTGGATTATCATTCACATATTGATTACCGCTGGGGTGGAGAAGGTCTGAGAAAAACATTGGTTCGTTGGGCTGCTTCCATCAATGAAAAGCAAGGGGAAGGCCAAATTGTTTTGGAAGATGAGTCAGGATCAACTTCACATTGTTTTGCATTTGAAGTAAGAGATCCGTCAATGGTATGTTAACGTTTTTCTCTATCCTTCTCATTTCCTTCTAAATAGGGTGTAATTTGTATCTTTCGCGTGAAAACATTTGTTGAAAAGAAACATATCTCTATGATTCTTCGATATGCATGCACTTGTAATCGAACCGCACTCTCGTACCTTTTTCTTGCACTATCTGTTTGGAAGACGGGGAGTGCTTACATTTATTTTGATGATGATTAATGTAATTACAGCTTCCTCCAGTCAAAGAGCTACGGAAATTGATGAGAATCCAGGCTCTTCGATGTCATGCTTTATATTGTCAAAATGGAAGGAAGCTGAATGTCATCCCTGTGTTGGCTTCAAGGTCCCAAGCTCTGAGGTACGGCTTGAGGGGAGAGGGTATAACTTTCCTTTGCCTCTCTCCGGTTTCTTTTTATCGATGATATGATATGCTTGTGAACCGTCTAAGTAAATGAAGCACCATGCAGTGTCTTGGTATTTCTAGCATTGTTGGTATTTCTAGCATTATATAAGGAATGTTTAAGTTAGCTGGAATATGAGAACTTTGATTATCTCGAGCTCATACAAGTACCCGACATTACACCTTTTGATGTATAAGGAATGTTTAAGTTTAGTCTTTATTTATTTTTTTTAAGAGTGTATAATAAGTTCAACTTTTAATTTTGTGTCTCCATTTAGTTCAATTTTATATTTAATATTAAAAAATTATTTGATCTATTATAGGTACATTTGAGTTTTATGTCCGATGGAACTTTTGATTTTGTATTTAATAGATCTATAGATAAAACTTTAAACTTTTAATTTTGTGTTTAATAGATCTTTAAATTTTAAAAAATTTAAACTTTACTAGATAAATTTATAATTTGAGAAGGTTAAGGACTAAATTTATTTTAAAGCGAAAATGAAATTATTTGATGTTTGGGATCATTAACAACTTTTACACTCTTTCTAGATATCTCTACCTTCGATGGGGAATGGACTTGACGAAAGTGGTGGTGCTTGTGGGAGAAGGTGGGGACACAGATTATGAGGGATTGATTGGTGGAATTCACAAAACGGTGATATTAAAGGGGATCGGTTGCAATGCTAGCAAGCTTCATGCCAGCAAAAGCTATCCTATGGAACATGTTGTGTCATTCAGCAGCCCAAATGTCGTCCAAGCAGAAGGGTGCAGGCTTGTTGACATAGGAACTGCGTTGAGAAAGCTTGGCGTTCTTGAGGCTTAGAAAGTTAAGTTCTAACTCAACTATTGGTTTTTTAATGTATGTGCCAAACAATTTCTACACTATTTTGCTACTAGATCAGTGTCTGCAGCTCTTGTTGCGTGGATATTTTTGTTGCTGAATTAATAACTTTCTCCAGAATTTGTGATCTTCTTGGAGATTCTTCACTCCATTATGATGAGAGTGGATAAACTATACATGTTTCCATGATGTTTTATGATTTGAATAATTCATGAATGAATTTTTGCAATTTCAGTTGGTTGCTACATTGTTATATATATCATTATTCTTGACACCATTTATTAATAACTTTCTCTTACCTCTTGTTTGATAACCAGTGTGTGCTTTGTTTTTGTTTTTTTTAAAATAACTTTTTAACCGTTGATCGGAGGGGCGTTGGCCACCCCGAGGACGGTGGAGTGATGCTCAATGGTGGCAAGCCGGTGGGGATCCTCAATGGGACTGTCTGTAGATTGATCCGAAATATTAGAAATGCAGGCCAACCGAGCATTGTGGCTCCAAGCATGAGCTTCCACAATGTTGCAATGGAGGTCATCCAGTGCAGCAGATATCTCGGAGATGAGACCGGGCTGGTCGGTGTCAGTCATTTCATTGGCCGCATGCTCATCAGAGTTATCAGATTTCCAGAGGTTGTTGACACAGCTTCTGGTTTATCTACAGAACCCACTCTACATGTACGAATTATCTACAGCATTTTAGGATGGAACCATTTCAAGGGATTCCATTAAGGGGAAAAAAAATCTACCATTTATAGGGATTCTTCTGCTTTGTTCGTTCTCAACTCGGAATAATCTGCCAACTCGACTTTTTTTTTTTCTAATTTAAATTATACGTTCAATTATATGATCAACAATCTAGCACGCTAGACAGCCTATTTACATCCAATATTCATATCGAGATATCGAATGAACAATATGCTTGGTTACTAACCGAGACAAATGTCTCTTAATTCAGCCAATTAACATGTGTATTTAGTCGATATCGGTTACCTCAATAAAGCCATGAATGGAATTGAATCAGAGAAGATGGTTAAAAAAATGACCAGAGCTTTTCCGGGATGGCCTATTCCCCTATAATGAACTTTATGACTTGAAAAGAGATGACACATAAATGGCATTTGTAAACTGCAAGATACTACGAATGGAATCGACCAGAATCCTCACAAACTCAACTATGAGAACCCTATATTCAGAAACCATTTGCTATTTCATTCGATCTCCAAATCGCTAAACAGTCAAAATGGTGCCAACTCAAAAAACTAACATCCTTCTCTCGTGATGTTATCCATCTTATAGCTTCAATGGTTATGTTACCATTGTGGCTTTGACCCAGTGTTCAATCAAGAATGGTTGAACCATGGTCCAACTGCACCACCATTCACATGCCCATTGCTGTGGATCCCCGAGCCATTGGGCATGCGTGAAGAGGGCTTCCCTACAGCCATGGGGGAAGGTGCAGCAGTGTACAACCCGTGACCGTGAGAGAGAGAATGGGGGCTCACAAGAGGATTGCCAGCCGGACTCCCTTTGCGCTGCTGAAGAGTATGAATTTGCCTTAACCCTTCTTCGTGAATACGAGATAACGTCTCGAGCTCCTTCATTGACAGTGCTTCCAAACCAGCACCATATAGAGGGGCATGTCTCGACATTTCCTCTTGTAGTGATGCTTCAAGCGAATGGATATATTGCTGCAAGAGAAGGAAAAGTTGCATTAATCCAACATGGGCATAGAGTTGTTCAGTTTGACGGTGGCACATTGGGGAGATAGATGAACAAGTTCTTTAAAATTCTATAGAATAATGTATTAACACAAAAATAAATCACGAATAAGCATCTTCACCATTGAATAGATTTTTTCTATTGTTATGCTTATCAAACCATCACAGTAATCGGTTGGGCAGGAGAACGAAACATTTTTTTTATAAGGACGTGGAACTTCCTAGCAGACGCGTTTTAAAAACCTTGAGGGGAAGCCCAAAAGGGAAACTCCAAAGAGGACAATATCTGCTAGCCGTAGGCTTAGACACAACACAATTTAAATGAGTTGACAGAAATCTAACAGAAAGATTACTATCATGTCGAAGTAAGAAAAAAAAATACCTGGCAGGCCTGCAATTTTGCTTCCATCCCATCAATATATGCTTCACATCGAGCAATCTGCTCCTCCTTCTCCCTCTTTTCTCCTTCAGTTTGTCCAACTGTTTGTGTAAGCCTGCGAACTTCATCTTCCAGTGACTTCCGGATTTCTTCCCTCGTCATATTCTCATTTGCATGCCGTTTCAGCTGTTCATCAAATCTTTTTCGAGCAGCTTCAGCACTCTTCAATCTTTCAGCAAGTGCATTTTTTTCCTTCACTACTTTCTGCCACATTAGAGATTGATGTCATTAACAGGAAAAGAATTGATTTCATTAACAAGATTAAAGTGATCATACGAGGGAAGAACCAACTATATGAAAGAAAACAGCTACACTTCCACTAGGATGTGGACATATAGCAAACTTAATCCTTTTATTTCTTCCAGAACAGTAAAATCGCAATAGCAATCAATGATGAATGAGGCAACAAATTCTATGGCCTTTAGCCATGCATAGATGCCCCTCTCACAAAAGCACTATTGGTCCTTTTTTGAGGGAGGAGCGTTTTTTTTCGATGTTGTACGTTGATGTTCTCCCTTGAAGCCTCACAACTATTTCATTCAATTGAAGTCTTGGATTTCTCATTTCCATTACTTACCATTTTCTATAACTCCAAACTAGGAAACTAACACTTCAACATCAAACTTCTATTCATTCAACCGATTGTTTGTATCAAGGATCTTAAAAACACTTTCCATGAGTATATATTTATATAGGAGACAATATAGTTACAACACTTTATGGCGTCAATGGCACCTACAGTTATATCACAGTTAACCAAATTTTGCATTCTATATCATGGAAAAGAAATGTTTCAAACATAATGCAGCATCAATGTCACATTTCAACTTTTCAATAGTAAAAGCTGCGTACCAGATACAATAATAGTCATGAAGTCAAGTCAATATGCAGTAACTATAAAGTTAGATAATTTAGAATAGGATTCAGCTTACAGAATCCCTTTGAACATCTCATACAGAAACTTATTTGCAGATCATTTCCCTTCAACTGATAAGTATCAAACGTAGATGTCAACAAAAATCTTTAGAGAACTTTCTGGCTTGAGCAAATGTTTTTCTATTAGTCTTTTGGTTACGGTTCAATTTATTATCCATTCTTCATGGAGTGTGTGTGCATACGTAAAGAAAAATTCAGATAGGTATGATCCAAACAACAAATTGCTGCTCATGGAAAAAGGATAGTGATTAGTTGACTAATCATTAGCTTAAAGTATCAATTAATACCTTCATTTCATCCCGTTTTCGAGATTTCAATTGTGCAATTTGATTCTCAGCATCATGTAGACGTTCATGGAGAACTTTCTTCTCTGTTGTTAACTTCACAATCTCATCATCTCGCTCAGAGCGAAGCCACTCAAGCTGACAATCAATGTCATGTACTTGTTCAGAAAGTTCCTTCTTCTCGCGAGAAAATCGCTCCAACTCAGCCTTCATCTCAATCTGTCAATTTTTTTGTCAGATTAACAATCTTGATATGAATCGATTCTAAAAGCCTTTCTTTAACATTTTTTGTTTCTATCTCGTGTTTAAAAGAAGTTACAAGAATCATGTAACTTTTATGTTAAACTTTAATAATTTGTTTTTAAATTCACCTTGTTTTCTTTGACACGATTCATCAAATCTCACCATCCATATATGTGTATATATATATATATATATATATATATATATATATATATACACACATATATATTCCGTAGGCAACTGATTCTAACTTATGAGAAATGCACATGGACAAGCCAGAATCAAATACCTTCAGGCGATTGTTCATGGCTTCAGATTCGCTCAGTTTTTGTAACAGAACAGTTTTTTCTTTCATCATATTTGAAATTTCTACTTTGCTTTCTTCACGGATACGGATGATTTCGTCTTCAGTAGCACATAACTGGTGCCAGAGAGCAGCACGGTCAACGTTTGCTAGTTCTGCAACATCTCGCATCATATTTAGCACAGGTCTAATTATTTCCTGTTCCTCACCAATCAACATAACCAGAATTCCCAAATCCATATCTACTTCACGGTTATTATCTGTACTACTGGTTACAAGGTCGACCAATCTTTTTAGCATCCTGGCTCGATATGACTCGCTTGCATACCGCTTAAACAATAATGGATACAACATTTTCACAAATCCTCGAACGCAAGGGTCTCTAGAGAGTGCTAATGTTTCAGCAAGACCAACAATAGCAGTAAAATCATCCCGCTGGACTCTCATCTGCTCACTAGTTTCTCCATCTATTACAGAATCTCCATGCTGGAAGCTTTCAGCTACGAATCTAGTATTGCTATTTGCATTTTGAGCAAGACGTTTTTCCAACACCACGGCAACAGATTTAGCTGTGATGGCACCACGAGCTACAGCTCTCTCAAATGTCTGTGATGCTTCAACGGCAAGACAAGGTATTGATAACATCTCAAATAAGATATAAATATCAGAAAAATGACGAGCAGCATGTAAATCTTGTTCATCCAACGGATGCAAACTTTCTGAAGCAGGGCCAGGTTCACCAAATAAGAAAAGGTCACGTGATATTTTTGAGCGGAAATCATCAGCATCATCATCACAATCAATATCTCTGAGTATAATATCAGAAACATCACCCCAGCTATGTACAGTTTTACTTAATAAATCAAGAACACATGGGGAAACCTCCATGCCCAAATTCTTCAGCCTACCACGCACGGATCTCACCTATAGAATGAAGCAGAATAAGGTTGCAGTGCTCAGAAAAGTAAACATAGTAATAGAGTACAAAGGTTACAGAAAACACGAGCAATGGCCATTCATTCCAGATACATACAGCTTCAGAGAGATGTTGGCACTGAGCTCCAGCTTTGAAAACAAAATCTATAGCTGCAGCAAGAGGCTCATCATTTGAATCTGCTAAAAACTCAATAGATTTAAATAGAACCTGTTCCCAAACTTCAGTTCCACACTCTAATTGACTAAGAGCACCAAAAACCTAAAGGAAAAAGAAAAAACAATGTCCCAATCAAGAGGAAGAAGCATTCTAAAATCAAATTTTAAAAGAAACTAAAATTTCAGCACAGCATAAACCATAGGGCACAGGCATTACACGTAAATTTTTCCTTAAAGCAAATCAGGAAGGTCAAAGGTAATTCAGCGAATAAGGGTAGAACGGAGGGATATATAACACTGCACTTACAGGTATCTGCAGTGCTGGCTCAGCACCAGGCTGTTGAAGCCGTTCTAGAAGCACACCAGCAGCCAATGGATGTTCTGAATGCTCAACCAATTTAGGTACTAATGCAACCAGGTCAGACTGTAGATGTCTGGGAGCTTTATCCAACACAAGAGCAATCTTTTGCGCGGACTGAGGCCGTCTTCTAGGCTCAGGACATCCTCGGGGGATAGCCCCATCTAGGGCTCTCAGTGAATTTACAATCAATCCTAAAAGCTCCTCAGATTGCTCAGGCCACTTGGTCTGCAAATTCAATTTGTTCTACCAATGAATGTCAAGGAACAAAAGAAAGTCATTCACCCTTGAAGCAGGCAGCATTAAAATGTACCTTTGTACGAAGGAAAACATTCTCTGAAACCCCAGCAGACGTTTCAGGTGGATGTAGTAGCTCATCAGGTAGAGACTTACCCTGCCTATCAGTTCTAATCATGTCAGAGCTTTGTACAGCAGGTGCACTACTACTTTCATCAGCGGAATCCAATCTCTGAAATGGAGGAAAATCTGCAGCCTCTATCGCTCCATTTTCAATTTCACCTTCCAGTGGTGTGGAAGTAGCACCGCTGCTAGGAACAGAAGGCTTTGAATTTGCTTCTGAAGGTTGACAACACTCGACCATTATATCCAACAATAAATCAATAATTGCCTGCTGTAAAACTTTGAC